TGCAAAAAACGAAAGTTTTGCAAAAAACGAAAGTTTTGCAAAAACGAAAGTTTTGCAAAAATGAAAGTTTTGCAAAAACGAAAGTTTTGCAAAAATGAAAGTTTTTCGCAGAACAAAATTTTTTGGGGGCCGAAGAAAAGTTTTCTTTAAAAAATAAAATCATATCTATGTCCAGAAACAGTTTTGTAGTTTTCTAAATGAGGAAACGCACGTTGTTTTCGTTGTTAACAGGTCCTCTCTGGGCCCAGCTGCGCCTCGTCGCCCGGCAAGGAGCAGGCCGTGTGGCGTGTCTTCAGCGTGCTCTTCTGCGACCCGCTTGGCTACAAGCCGCTCATCCTCATCACGTCCATATTCGCCCTGCAGCAGCTCGTGGGCGTGTACATCACCATCTACTACGCCGTCACGTTTTTTCAGGTTCGCCCCCCCCCCTTCCCAGTCTGTGTTTGCACAAAGATAAGCCCCTTTTTCGCCGCTACCTGTGCTCACGGTATGGTGTAGCACGAGGCAGAGATCCGGTTTTTTGTTTGTTTTTCTTTGGATATAGCTGTGCAGTGTTTGGCGTTGAGCACATACGCGGGAACATTTATCGAGAAGAACAAACATTTCTGGTCAGCGACAAGACGTTTGGAGCAGGGAACTGCGAGAGGGGTGAAGGCTGGTGAAGGTTACCAACCAGGCCACCCACCCCTCAGGGGTCACAGAAAACGTTTAAGTTTGTTATTTTTTTTTCTGGAAAAGTTTCCAGTTTGTCGGACTTTAAAATCAAATCGTTCGGAAGAGCCATGCTGCCGATGACAACCCCCCCCCCCTAACGTGCCTCATTTGTGCAACCCCTCCAGGAGACGCACAGCGAGCTGGACCCGTACATCGCCACCATCTGCATCGGCGTGGTGCGCCTGGTGGGCTGCACCAGCACCTCCCTCATCATGCAGCGGGTCGGCCGCCGGCCGCTGATGCTCCTGTCCTCTGTCGGGCAGTGCGTCGCTATGGCCGTGTCCGGGTACGCCACCTACTGCATCCGCCAAGGTAATGTTGTTGTGAACGGTTTTAAAAACAGTGAGAGGAGAGACGACCCGGCGATCCGCATGGATCTGCATCTACTCCTCCTCCCCGCAGAGGCCGGCTCCGTGTCCTCGTGGTGGGTCGTCATGGGCCTGCTGGTGTACATCGCCTTCGGCTGCCTCGGCTGGCAGATCATCCCCTGGTCCATGATGGCCGAGCTGTTCCCGCACCGGGTGCGAGGCCTGGCCCAGCCCATCAACAGCGGCGTCGCCCACCTGCTCATGTTCGCCATGCTGCAGGTGTACCCCGCCCTGGACTGGCTCGTGGGTGAGTGTGTGTCTCCTCGCAGTGTTGATAGTAGGTGCCGCTGCTGCTCGCGTTCCCGCGCATAGGAATTTTAATTTGCCAGGAGACTTTTCATCAAGAATTTGTTTTTTAAATGTTTGAGTTTTTCCCTTAGTTTTATTGTAATTTGTTTTAAATTTCTAGGGTTGGAAGCCCTGGAAAGTTTCCGACAAATTTCAGGAAAATTTCTGAAAAAGACGGAAAACTTCCCAGATTTTGGAAAGTTTTCCGTTATTTTCCGTACATTTTCGGAAAGTTTTCGCGGAAATTTTCCGGAAAATTTGGGAAATTTCCAACCCTATAAATTTCCAAGTTTTCCATAAAAGAGAATAAGTCAGATTTTAAATATTTCACTACACCCTGTGTCCGCAGGCGGCTCGGCGGGCGTGCAGTTCCTGTTCGCCGCCATCTCGGCCGCGAGCGGCGTGTTCGTGTGGGTGTTCCTGCCCGAGACGCGCGGCTGCACGCTGCAGGAGATCGAGGACTACTTCCAGAACAACGTCTGCTTCCTAACCGAGCGGCGGAGGCGGCGCGCCGCGCGCAGGGCGGCCGCCGTGGCAGCGCTCACCGCCAAGACCCCCGCCGCCGCCGTCGGCCCCGTCTGACCGTCCCCGGCGACGTCCGCCCCTCCCGGGGGTGGCTTTCAGCGACCTGAACACGTTCAAAATAATGTTCCTCGTGGATGGCGTGCCGCTTCCACGACAGACACTCCCCAAAGTGTGTGCGTATGTGTGTGTGTGTGTGTGTGTGCGACTATTTCGCCGTATATCGCGGGAATGTCCCACACTTTTCCAAGGGGCTCTTTTCCTTGTTCTGTTAGAGTTTATACCTCGCGTTGTGAGTGCCGCGTGAATTTACTCTTTCCCTTTTTAATTTGGCGAATCTCACATACCAGCTTAAATAGTTTACACTAAAGAGTGACGCCATCCCTACTCTTCCGCATAGAGCGCGAAGAATTTGAGTAGCGCCGGTTTCCGACCCGGTTCCTAACTGCAACGCACGTGTGCACTTGAGAGAGCGATGTCTCCGTGATAAGACTGCTTTACTGTTTGTGTAGAGACGTGCGAGTCTCTTGATGTACAGTGTAAATACAAAGTGTGTGCGGGTCGATTTGCCGCGCGCGCGTCCCGCATTTCGTATGCTCAGACTGTATACCGCAATACTGGTGAGAGCGCGAGCATTGTGATTGGCAACCCGCCGGCTAGCGTGTATTGCGGTACAGTCTATAGCTACGAAAGTGAGGCGGGGCGAATCGACGCCACCTAGTCGGTGTTCTAAAATGTGATTTAGCTTTTATTATA